GCATGCTGTTTCAGTGTATACCTAAACCATTTTTAAAAGGTTCAAAAAATAAATTATTGAAATAATAAATAATAAATTATAAATGAAGGATTATGTTTAAATATGTCAATATAAACTCTTCAATTTCTTGTGAATGCAAAGTATTTGAATTAAAATGGCACCATGCCTTGACAGTGTCGAGTGACAAATCATCGATTACGAGTATTCCATCTGTCTATATTTTGAAAAGATCGACTAGACCTGTCAAATGGGTGGGTCGGATCGAAAATGGTCCAATCCAAATAGACCCATTTAATCCGTTTTAACCCATTTTCATGTAATACAAATCTAATGACTTATGCCTGACTCGACCTATATTGTTAAAACACTTTCATATTTAACTCAATTTATGAAAACTTGAACCCAAACTGATATGAGAGTGCGAAGTGAGCGCGAGAGTGATGAATTGAGTTTAAATAGTTGTAAACTCATTTACGACCCATTTAACATTCATATTATGTTTATATTCATTTATAACACATTTAATGAATATAACCAGCCCATTTATGATCAAATTACTGATATATGAGTTAAGAAATAGGTCCATGACCCATTTTGACAGGTCTAAGATTGACTAATGGTGCCAAATAAGGGATTGTGCACGATGAATCTCATGAAATGACACTAGGTTTATCTAAATTTAATTGAGTTTCAATACACTTTGAGATTTTGCCAACAAGGAATCACAACCTAATTTTCATTGTAATTAGAGATCAATGCACTTTTACAGATGCATGGCAATTAGAGTTCAAATTGTACTTTTATGGGGTTAAAATTCAAGGAATTAAATAATTAAATTTTTAGAAAAAAAAATCATCGTTATTATTCATTTATTTTTTTAAATAATTTGGAGAGAAAGAAGAGAGAGAGATAGCCAAGAAGAAGGGATGTTGGGGCCGGTTTCCAAAATTGTTAAGAGAACTCGGCAACCCCGCGGCCCTGTAGGCCACGGGCGCTCCGGCTTCCGTGCCCCGGCCGAACCGCGGGCCCGGTCAATGGGCTAGGCCCGGGTTTGACCGGGCCCGCGCTAGTCGGGGTGGCGTCGACGATCGTGGAGGAGTACGAAGACTACGAGGAGTCGGGAGGAGAGAGAAAGAGGACGCGGGCCATGACTAGGGAGAGAGGAGAGGAGAGAAGGAGAAGGAGAGGGACACTAATAATGTCTTACAACGTATGTCGACGAAGACGAGTTCACAATTGGGAAGTCGGAGCCGTGCTTGGTTGTCGTTGTGGTGGTCGGATGGCGTGCCGCGTAAAGGGCAACCTACTAGCCGGTTGTGTTATCATCCAATCTCTTTGCAATCCTGAGACCACATTGTTTAGTCCACTTTGTAGCCTTATCTCTTTGTCTATGAGGCGAGTAATGACCATAACTCGTATGTCTTCAAGCATGCTAATGATGGGTTTGCACCTAGCCTCTAGTACTCTGTCATTGAAAACTTCACTTGAGGTTGTTGCCAATGATATAGCACTTAAATTCTTCAGCTGAAAAAGGCCTACACCAATGCTTAGGTTCCGTTTGGAACAATGCTTCAAAACCTTCATTTGACAAGCTGAAACAACTCCTATTTAGCTATTCTAAAATCAGCCATGTTTGCGCTCTTTATTATATGCCAAAATTGCTTCTAACGGCTTTTCCCTTTATAATTCTTTGCCCAGTTTGCATATATGTGCCACGCACACATTCTATGTTCAGCATGTGGCATCAACTCAGTTAATGCAGGAATAAGTCCCTATAATAATTCAAACCAGAAAATACTTGTAAAAAAAAATATGCGATTAATATTAAAAAGCCAACAGTTTTAAATGGTATTACCTTTTGTTGGTCGCTCATGAATGCCCAATCTTCCCCATTGGTTATCTCAAGGTCAGCCATTGTATTTTTTAGAAACCAGGACCAAGTGTCTTTGGTCTCTATTTTGACAACAACCCAAGCTATTGGAAACATTTGATTAATGACATCTCTCCCAACGGCAGACAACAACTCTCCCTTGCATAAACCCTTCAAGAAACATCCATCCAATCTTACAACTTTTCTACAACCAACCAAAAATCTCCGTTTGCATGCATCAAAGCAAACATAAAACCTATCAAACTTACTCCCACATTCAGGTAATAGCCTCTCAATAACCTCTACATATACTCTAAAAGATAGATTTTGAAACATATATTCACAAGCATAATCCCAAACCTGGCCATATTCTTTCTTGTACCGACCCATCAGTGTACTCATCACCTTCTGCTTGGCTCTTTTGCACTGATTCCTCGATACATTAACCCCTGCCTGCTTCTTCACCAATTGCTTCAACTGAGGACTCTTAATCTCGGGCATTGCCTTGATAGTATTAAAGAAGTGCTTCCACAACCATACATTTGTTACTCTTTTATTGTCAAATATAATGGACAAGTATGTTCCTCCTGCAATGACCTAATCTGGAATGACTCGCTTTTCCTATTCAGGGCATCATAGATCTTCCATGAACAATTTGGTTGTGAACACTTAGCTCTCACAAATTCTTTTGTATTTCTAATAAATTCGACACTCCTTTATTCAGCAATGGAGTTCTTGACAATAGCTTCTTTAAATAGTTTCGCATTGTCAAATTTCATTCCTACGGACAAAACAGAACATACAACAGCCGGATCATAGGAAGGATACTTACTTTTCCTTCTACGGACAAGTATTTCATCATCTTCAAGCTCGTTCTCGAAACTAGCGCTCTCATCTTCACCACCACTCTGTTCATATTCATTTTAATTACCATCAGCTGGAGCTTCTTTGTTCCTATTCATTGATTGTGGTTCATGCGATTCTCTAAATGATGCAAATTTATTTCTCAGAAAGTCTCTCTGCTTTTGCCTTGATTGTGTAAGTTCTTCATTGTCATCGTCATCACTTAGGAAATTTACATTTGCCAAAACATCATCATCCGATTTACTAGATTGAGCAACTTCCCAATTTAATCCGATTAATTCTTCATCAAGAATGTCTTCACTAGAAACTTGGGGACATCTTCCCGTTCTCTCAATTCTCTCTATATGACTTGCCTCCGTCTCCGGCCTCAGCTATTGCCCTTCGTCCCCAACCTAAGTACATTCTCCTATTTTGGTGCTCTCACCATTTTCATCATCTTCACAGTCACTATAATACTCAACATAAACTTTAACTTCCTCGCCATGAAGATAATGGTAAATAATGTCCTTAACACCATTATCATCACTAAAGAATCTCAAGCCGTCCTTCAAGCTCTTCTCAGGAACACAATAATGCAATTTATGTACTTTGCATTGTAAATAATGCACTATGTCCCCATCAATTCAATATATGATGGCCTCTTTACATCGAAAAAGATAGTACGTTCATTTCCACCGGCATATTTCCATTCCTCGGTGCCAATGACAAATTCCCCACCATAACAAACAATGATAGCGACAACATTATCCCTATGCCCATGCTGCACCTAAAGAAAACAAACTAATCCGACTCACAATACACAAAAAGCCAACAAGTGTTCACACTGGAGTGATCCCACAATCGTGAACTCAAACGATTAAACAAATTGCCATTGTCGAAATAAAATAACTTCAGTATCTGTTGTTTAGTAGAAATGAAGCAACATAGCCAGCACCGGTGTCCCCACAATCAGAACTTGAGGTCCCCACAATCACTATGTCGCAATTCCTTTTCTATTACTGTCATGCCTAATTTATCTCTCCCCCAAGCCTTAGTTTTGCCCTCGGAACCCTTTCATCCAATTGAGCCATGAAGAGAATATGACAAACCAAATGACTTAGGATAAGAGACTCAAAGGGCGGCCAATGACAACGGAAGTGAATATGTTGGCGATGGAGCACATGACCGGGAGCAGCGATGACGGCAACGGTAAACTTCCTTCAATTTCGTTGACTAGAACCTGCAAATTATTTGAATTAGAAATGACGTGATTAGGCGATGCGACGTCGTTTTTGAAGTCCACGTGGAATTATTTTTATAAAAATTTGCCAAGTCATTTATAAGATTTAATTTAAAAAGCCACGTATTAATTTTGGCCGGAATATCTCGCCAAATTATTTGAATTAAAATGGCGATTGTGTCACCATGCCTTGAAAGTGTCGAGTGACAAATCATCGGTTACGAGTATTCCATCTACCTATATTTTGAAAATGATTTGACCCCAAATAGACCCATTTAACCTGTGTTAACCCATTTCCATTTAATGCAAATCTAATGACTTATACCCGACCTAACCTGACCCATATTGCTAAAACACTTTCATATTTAACTCAATTTAGGAAAACTCGAATCCAAACTAATATGAGAGTACTAAGTGAGTGACCACGAGAGTAGTGAATTGAATTTAAATAAGTTGTAAATCCATTTATGACTCATTTAACACTCATATTATGTTTATATCATTTATAACACATTTAATAAATATAACAAATCCATTTATGATCCAATTACTGATATATGGATTAAGAAATAGGTTTATGACCCATTTTGACAAGTCGAATATTGACTAATGGTGACAAATAAGGGATCGTGAATGATGAATCTCATGAAATGGCATCGGGTTTATCTAAATTTAATCGATTTTCCACGTTCATGCATCAATCCTTTGAACCGATTTTGCCAACATGGAATCACAGCCGCACCCAATATTTCTCCTCTCCCGATCGAGAGGGAGGGGAGGGGACGTGGACTGACCGGCCCACCTAATATTTTTCTCGGGGGGATGGAAAGAGAGATGGGGGAGCCGACGTGGCCGACACGTAGGCGCCACGGTGTACTATAATTTGGGGGGTTGAAATTCCGAGGAATTCAAGGATTAAATCGAACACCAAGTGCTAAATCGCGAAGCAAAACGAACAGAGGGATTCGACAGACAGATCTCTCCATCCATCCATCTCTCTTCGTAGCAGAAGAAACCTCCGACGATAAGCCCCTCAAATTCTTCCCCCCACGACCCCGAATCAATCATCTCGTCCTCTCCGTCGTCGCCGGCGGCGGCGGCAGACATCCCCTCCATCTTCTCCTCCCCGCCGTCGATGGCGTCCCCTTCGCTGCAACGCCCCTCTTCTTGACGACCCTCCTCCGACCTCGCGGGTTCTGCCGCTCTAGAGAGAGAAAGAAGAGAGAGAGAGAGAGAGAGAGAAGAAGAAGAAGATGTTGGGTGGACTGTACGGAGACCTCCCTCCGCCGTCGTCCGCCGACGACGAGAACCCTAGCGGCGCCAACCCCGCCTCCACCGTCTGGTCCAGCAGCGCGAAGTTCGCCCCGCCCGCGCTCCGCAAGCCCTCCGTCGCCCCCCAGACGATCCTCCGCCCCCAGGCCAAGCCGAAGCCCCCCGGCTCGGCCCCCCCGTCGCCGAAGCCGGCGGTGCCGCAAGCGGTCGCGGCGCCGCAGCTGGCGGACGACGCGACGCCGCAGCCCGCGCTGGTGGGGGTGACGTCGACGATCGTGGAGGAGTACGACCCCGCGAGGCCGAACGACTACGAGGAGTACAGGAGGGAGAGGAAGAAGAAGGCGGCGGAGGCGGAGCGGAGGAGGGAGCTGGAGAGGAGGAGGCAGGAGGAGGAGGAGAGGGAGAAGAGGGAGAGGGAGGAGAGGGAAAGGGAGAGGGAGAGGGACCGGAACATCTCCGGGGAGGAGGCATGGAAACGGCGTGCCGCGATGAGTGGGGCGGCTCCGAGGTCGCCGTCTCCTCCGGGGAATGGGGACGGGTTCACCATTGGGAAGTCGGAGACGCCGGGCTTGGGTGTTGGCGCGGGTGGTCAGATGACGGCTGCGCAGAGGATGATGGCGAAGATGGGTTGGAAGGAGGGGCAGGGGCTCGGGAAGCAGGAGCAGGGGATCACGACGCCGCTGATGGCCAAGAAGACGGATAGGAGAGCTGGAGTGATTGTAAATGCAAGTGAAACGAAGCCGGAGAAGAAGGTGAAGAGTGTCAATATCAATGGCCAGCCGACTCGGGTTTTGTTGCTCAGAAACATGGTTAGTGCTTCTACCTGATTGTTATATCAGCATCAATATTTCACTTTGATTGCTTCTTGAGAAAGATCATGATTTAGAATCATTTCCCACAGTTGCTATCCTTCCCTCTTGGTTTATGATTGTAGATTTCTGTAGTTGTCCTCGCTTATTTTGATATCCGCTTGCCATGATCAGTAATGTGAACTTTACTCTGCATCTACTTTTGTATTATTCAAATGAACGAACTTGTTTACTAGTCCGTTTGCAGTTTAGGCCTATTAGGAGGCTCTTGTACAATTTATCACAAAGGTTTCAGTGCCCAATGGAGTCGCGTTGAAATTATAATGGCACTTACTAGAAATTTATGCTTTCTTCTAAGTTAAGTAGACCATGACATAGTTTAGTATCAAAGTACATTGTGCTGTGGTTGCGATTTGTTTGAGTGTAGAAAAATTCGAAACTGAAGCAGGTGCATCAGAAGTGGGGGAACAAACAGTTTTTTTAATGAAACAATAAAGCAAATGGGTACCACAATCTTTGCCTAAAAACCAGACTTTGAACTCCTTCTTAAGTTCCACCTTGTTTGTTTTTATGCCTAGATACTGCAATTGTGATAGGAACTTGCCGCTCCTTTGATTTTCTTAACGGGCTGAAGTCTCTATTGCTGAAAAAGAGCATGCATAACCTGTGGCAAATCAAACATTTTGTTATTTTGTGCACGTGTTGGTGTTTGATTGCCCAACATTTTGTGCCATGAAGCATTGCTAGCCTTGTTGCCCCTAATAGAATTTGCCCTTGAGCTTTAGTGGCATTTGACATTCACACAAGACTCAAAATACACTTCTCTGCTTCATCCATTATACTTATACTTGATAAGTGAGATATGCATCAATTTCTTCATCTTTTTGCAAAATGGATTCATGATATTTATAGTGGTTACCTGTTGAGATTGCTTGATTTCCAATTCGTGCAATTGTGTTGTTTGAATCCTGAGTATATTATGTTAACTGTGTTCCCAATGCCCGTGAATTATCAATCTGATAGTATATGCCCATATTTGGCAATATTTACGTTTATTTTCTAAACAAAAAGAAGGATATAAGAGAATTTTATCAAACCTGATACGATTCAATGCAGCCTTGGGGTTTACTCATAGCAAATACAAAAGATCACAATGATTTTCCTTGTTCTGATAAATTGGAGTAGGTGGTGTTGCGGGCAAATGCTTACAATTTTCTGGTATTTTCTTGTAAGCAAGAGTCCTTAGCCAATTGTTTAGAAGGAAGGGGCAGAAAATAGAGAAGATTGAGTCTTTTATATTATTTAATGGACGTTATTTCAAGATGATTGAAAGCTTAGACTTTCATTGAGCGAGCTTATTTGAAATTGGTGAATGTTTGTCGGCATGGTAGAGCTTCTCAGAAGTTTTCAGAATTAATAAATCTTGTGGAAGGTCCTTCACAGGCCCAATTTGGTTTTGACTCTTTGTTATCTTATTGCGTCTTGGTTTGACTTGTCATCTTTGATATGTCTTGTATTTGTTGTGGGAATAGCGCAGGAGGTCCTGCTACTGTGTTTAGAATCAGAATGTTTATCGCTTAGGGCAAGATATATACTTGTTTCTTAGTAGAGAAGGTGGACCTTTCTTTTTTTCTGTAAGGATTGGTTTTGTGCTGGTACTCTTGATGTGCATTTAACAAAAAATTTCTTATACATAAAGGTTTCCATCACCTTATTGCACTTGTTAGATTTGTGTTTCTGTAGTAGCTTGCCTCCTGTTTCATTTTCTAGTGGCTCCCCCTGATCAATTTATTGTACTTGTTTGGCCATTTTTCTTCGGTCGGATTCTGAACTGCATTCTCCCTTCTCTTCTAATGTGAAATAGTACAAAATATGGTGGGAAAATCGAGTAGTCTCTTATGATTGTTCTTACGTCTACTCTCTTTTGCATTCACCACCATTTATACAAGTAGTTTTAGTCTTGCATTAGAAGATTGCTTTGGTGCGCTTTCAAATATTAGATAGTGAGGATCTGTGTTTTGTAAATATGAAACAAGCTAGATAGTATGAAGAGTAGGGGACGTTTGATATTATTTACGAGGGAAGGTTTTTGATTTGGGAAAACACTAATTCAATTGAAACATGTTGGATAAGTTCCCGACGGTAGTATTTATTTTGATCAAATTAAAGGAATAGCCTGACTATTCTGGAAAGATACAAAAACATTTGTTTACCAAGTGAGAAATCCAATAATAAAGTTCCAATTTTAATAGCAAGAAGTTTGCAGGACTTATTAGAATGATGGTATTAAACTTTTATCTCTCTAAGGGTTCTCCATGGTTATCTGATTATATGCTCTGTGAACCAATGATCCGTGCGTCACATTTCTGAAAAAGTTTGAGTTAGAAGCATTGCCAAACTCAATTCTATCTGGAGAGGCTATATACATTAGACAGCAACTTTCTTAATCATATTGTGGACAGAAACCAGAAAAGTGTAGTAACTTTTTCATTTATATTGTGAACAGACACAAGATAACTGGGTCCAACTCACCCTGTTTCCCAGTTGAACTCCTTTATTTTCAGTAGCATGTGTATTAGCTAATCACAAGTTACCAAGTTTTGCCTTCTGATGATTAATGTTATCATAGCAGAGCAATATTTATGCTCACTTTAGGTCCATTGCAGTCTAAAAGGTGTGAGAGACCCGGAAGTTGGATTCAAGAACTGCTTATTGGCTTTTGTATTTTAGTCTACCAATCTGGTTGATTGATGATTAGGAAATCGAGTATTGTTGTTGATGGTTCCCAGCAATGTTGGGCAGGAAATCAAGTCCTATTTTATTGTGCTCTTCTGTTGGAGTGCTTTGCGTGTGCCCTCTGATTTGTTGCTTTGACTGATACATGTGTTGGCATGTAATAGGTTTTCTCTGACTTTTTTAAAGGAGAAAATGGCTTACCCTAATGTTGTTTTCGTCTTAAAGGTGGGCCCTGGTGAGGTAGATGATGAGCTAGAAGATGAAGTCGCATCAGAGTGTGCAAAGTATGGAACCGTTACCAGGGTTCTTATATTCGAGATAACAGAACCGAATTTTCCAGCTGATGAAGCAGTCCGAATATTCGTGCAATTCGAGAGATCCGAACAAACAACCAAGGCACTTATCGATCTCGGTGGTCGGTACTTTGGGGGACGAGTGGTTCAGGCAACCTTTTATGACGAAGAACGGTTCAGTAAGAACGAATTGGCTCCTATGCCAGGTGAAATTCCCGGTTTCTAACAGGTAGCATTTTCCTCTTCTCATGAGCAGCCTCGTTAAGCTATGTAAGGACATGCCATGCCAGATTTAGAATTGGATGTTTATTAGGGGACATGGGAGTAAAAGGCTTAAACCATCATCATGACTCAGCACTTTTGGACATCAATTTATATATTTTGCGTCTGAGCAATGTGCAAGGTTTTCTTGGAGTGGGAAATGATGGTTTGATGAGGGATTGTTATCATTTTGTTGGCAAGCATCACTTAAAAGACGTTGACTGAAATATGATTTTTCTTTTAGGCAATCATTTTTGGGATTTTCTATCGTGCTCAAAAGCTTCCTCGCTCTTTTTAATTGAAAACGGCACCTATTTGTACATTTGTGGATCTAAGATTGGTACCTCCAATGGTCAATTCGCTTCTTTCAAATTGTTTCTCGTTATTAAGAATTGGTAACAGATTGTTATTAATCGGTAGATGGGAGATTTAACTGGAAATCGAAGAAGCATGTTTGTGAAGAATTTATGCTGTTGATGCTCGATAGTGTCGTCTTCCCCTACTTTAATTGTTAGAACAGTTCGTTTGTCTTGATGGCTACTGTTTTTTTCTGGGGGGGTTGGTCATGTATGGATGGAGAAACAGGATACTGATGAAGGATGAAGGTGCTCATCCGGAAAAGGAAAAGGATATATTGAGACATGACAGAAAATGAAGTTCTCTTGAACCACATTATATGAAAAGGAGAGTCCGGATATAAGTGCAAAAATAGGACTTAATGGTTTGACAGTTGCTTAATCGAGGGCTTGTGGTTTTATTTTTATTTTATTTTTTCCGATCAATGGAGGACCGCAGGCTTAAAAATGCCCCAATTGGCCTCGAGCCCGCCGTGGGTAGAAGCCAAGTGTCGGAAATTCGGCATGGCTCTCACGTCGACTATTTGGTCATTCGCCGTGTTTATTAGTGATGTCTGAATCACATTGTTGCTTTTTCAAGACTTCAAAATCTTCAGCTGACTAAGGCTGTGTGTGTTTATTGAGAATGGAAGAGTGGAATGAGGATGAGACCTTAGTGTCGTGGCTTCATTAGCGTAGGGAGAGGTGGGAATGAACAAGGAATGGGTATGATTCAGTAAAAAAGCAATTCAATACATGGAATGCTTGCAGCAAGAAAATAACTAAATCAAGAAATAAGGCATGATATTTCTCTCCTTCCTTTTCGATTTGGGGAAATTCCAAATAAGGGCTCGAATGTCATCATTTTCTCAAATGAAGACCTAAAATGAACTTTATTTCAAATAATGATATGAAATGCTTTTAGTTTCTCAAATAAAGGCCTAAAATGAACTTTGTTTTAAATAAGAGTTTGAATGGGCATTTAGTCTCAAAGAAGGGTTTGACCTTACTTGGTCAAAGGCATTTTCATCTTAATTTTTTTTCTTTCTTTTTTCCTTTTGTGTTTTTTTCTTTCCGTAAAAAAAATCAAAAAAGAAAAAAAAAGAGGCTAAAGTTTAAAAAAAAAAAAAAAAAAGGAAGGACACAGGCAGAGCCTGTGGTTGTTGCCCCATCGTCGATGGGGCGGTGGAGATGCCAGCGAGGTCGCTGGTGCCTCGGCGTGGTCCGATGACCTTTGCTGACCAGAGGTGAGGGCCTGCTCGCCCTCACCAAAATCGGGAGAGGGCGGCAATGAGGAAAAAGACAAAAATGAAAAAGAAAAGAAGAGAAAAGGAAAAAAAAAAAAGGTTAAGAAGGAAAAGAGAAGAAAAGAAAAAATTAATAAAAATATTCGAAAAATATTAAAATATTATTAAAAATGTCCAGGTCCAAGCCGGCCGTGCCACGTGGGACAACCGGTATTGATGTCAGCAAGATATACTCAATTGACAAAATGTGAAAAAATTTATGACTCAATCGTCATAATTAAAAAAGGTTTAAGACTGAATTAGTAAAAGTACAATAGGTTTAAGACTTTTTGGGCAATTTTCCCATCCAAAGAAGGAAAGTTCAAGACATCATTAAATTTGTGAATTGGCTTCTTCAGACTTCTTGTACAACTAGTGAAAACCCGTGCGATGCGTGGTGGTTCAAAAATCGGTACACATTCTTATAGACAACTCGGATCTCCCTAAATTGGTTGCATCTCTGCATATTTTGCAAAATGGTGTTTCGTATAGGAGTTCACGAGTCAGTATGATGAACTTGCATGATCTCAAAAGATTAACCTTTATGCAATTGAATTTCATGAGCTCATTTCAGTTTTACAATGTCTAGTATAATCTTAAGCTCGCAGCAGATCTTCATGATTCCACTGTTTATAAGTCCATTGAACTGCTTAGTCACGTTTAATTCATTAATAGTACGGATTTAAGAGACCAATTGAGAGGGGTGTTTCTAAAGATTCTTCGGGAACGGATCCCCAACCCCTCGATGACTGTCGGATAAAAAAAAAAAGAGTAATCCTCGCCCGTTAATCGGAGAATCTTTAAGTTTTTGCTCGTTACAATATTTTGTATAGAAATTACGATAAGGATCACTGCTTCACACCTTTGGGAGGACATTAGGAGGGCAACGAAATGTTTGAGATTGTTATTTTGGCTAGTTGATTGAACACACAGAGAATGAGGAGGCTTTAATTGCACCAAACAATTACTTGCGTCGCAGCGAAAAAAAGGTTGCATTGAAGCTCATAATATAATTAAAAGTTCAGAAAGGGCATTTCGATCGGAGATGAAGATCCTTTATTTCCATTCCATGCCTTCATCTATCTCGCTGATTCTGTCACAAATTTTAGAATGAACAACATACTCATGGATCAATACTGTAATGATCGAAATACGAATAGGGACTACGAATAGGGAAGGAGGATCTCGTCCGCGAGTAATCTCACCGGAGCTTTTAACCCAGAAATGAACTTCCCACCATTTGCTCGTTTCAAGAGTCTGGCACCACAAAGTTTTAATCCAGGAGTAACCTCACGTCTTTTACTCAAGAATCAAGAAAAAGATGAACGGGGCATCGTTTTCACCAGATAGGGGTCTCGATGTACACAAAGCAGCATGGAGTTACCAGATGCTTGAATTTATCTTCTGAAAAAACAGGTCTCGGCAATAGGTGATGACAGTAGCTGATAAATTATGCCAAACTCAGACTGATTTGTGCTGACTAGTCGAACCAACTCACTGGCTGTCGCTGTATCCGGTCCGAAAGCCACAGAAAGACCAGGACATGTGATCATTCAGCACACAATTAAGATGACGATTTTCTTCTGAATTTTGATCACTGACTCACAGGTATCTTCACAAGTACATTGAGCTGAAGCAGGAAATGGTATGAGACAACAACATTGAAGCCATGTCCAAACATAGAATCTTCATATAACTTGAGGCTTTAGAAGTTGGAGTGCTTCTCCAAGTGCTGGCTCAAGAATCATCTTGTCCTCAACTCAAAAACTTAAGTTTAACCTTCCCATATACTTTAACATATGCATTCGTCCAGTACACTGTGATGGGTAAAGTCATGCTTAAAAGACATGTACATTGTCTCGATGGTCCCCAACCTGCCGAACTCCTACTTGACTATTAAAACTTAATTCCATACGATGATAGTATCTTAAACATATCAGAAAGCTTAAGAAGGAAGTGTAACAGTCTCTGATCCAGAATACACATTGCAACCAACCCAAGAATGGAGGGCATGTTTATGCCATATTAAAAGAAAGATATCAACCAAGGACTTTATGCATCATCCTTCACGGCATCAGCCTTTACCGGTACTACTTGCGCCTCTGACCCATTCACTTACTTTAAACATGAAAGAGGTTTTAACAAGAGCTGGGTTGGCATGCCAATTTTTGCCCTGAATTACCCACAGATATCTGAGTGCATGCAATTATTTATCCATGGCAACTAGGTTATCAGTTTGCAGATGGCTGATCCAACGCATTCAACGCATTTGGCCAAAGAAAAACCCCATTCACCAGTGATGTTGCCTTATGATTCTGTATTAAGAATCAAAAAGCATCAAGCCAACTACAACTTGTACTACGCACAAAAAAGAACACTTGTACTACAGGCTCTTTTAAAATCAAATTGAAAAAACATCAGGAAAGAAAATGGGGCAACATATTGCTTTGCGAGTATACCACTGACGATAATTAACATAGTACACCTGGCGAGATGGTTCACGAGTTTTGCTCATCTGTCCCTCCTCTAACCCCACTGCAGCAATAAAAATGGGGCAGCTTGACACGACCACATACCCTAGAACAAAAAGAAGTAGATTATGCAATTGAAGATAAATATCAAGGTATATCCCAAGTTTAGTAATATATGGACTTGCACGTTTGACTTTTACCCCAGCGCGAATTGTATTACAAATAGAACAAGTAAAGAGTTTGGTAAATAAGAAGTCAAAAATACAATGAAGGCATGGGATATGCTCTGTGAGGTCATGATTAGTGTTCAAAGTCTCCCTCACCAGCAGTCTATCACAGCTAAAAATAAAAGCAAACTCGAAACAAATTGTTTTGTATCTAATAAACTAAACTGAAAAGATATTTGGCTCAGGCAATGAGACAGCCGGATGTTTTCCAAGGCCAAGAGTTCAACTCCCTACAGCTCCCAACAGACAATCTTATAAAGGTTCAGATCCGACCAAACTGGTTTTACCGATTGAACCAGGTTGAACTCAATCCTTACCACTCTTACACAACAATAGGTCAAGGAAGAAATAAAGACTTGTCTGAAGCAGGTTACTGATTCAACCGGTGGAACCAGTCGGTGCGGTTCTAAGAACATCGAAGTAATCTAAGGGCGTGAAACTTAATAAACCATACGAGACAGCAAAACAATTCTGGAACAATGTTGAAGACATAGAGTGCTAGAGAATTAAAAAGCTCAGATATTATATCCATAAGACCCTGTTTCAGCAGTTCAGTCTTTATGAATGTGATACAGAAAACGCATCAAAGTCACAAAAATGACATTGACAAAGGAAAATGCCACTGTTTTTCTTGAATATTTTCCCATCATTCCTTCATTTAATGACTTAGCTCAAATTGTCACACTTAATTAGATATAGGTCTTTATCAAAATGAGATATAAATAATAATGTGAAGATACTTACGTGCACCGAACTATCACTGGAACGGGTTTCAGAGCCTTGGGCCCATTCCTAATACCTTTCTTGTGGCGGGAAACCTGCATTAATGGATAGAAGCCAGTGATAACCCAGACACTGTCAGAACTAGTATCTCCAAATCTATGATCTTTGGTAAGACAATCATGCACGGATTTGCATTATGGACAAGAATGAACCTAATGTAAACCAAAGGAGCTTGTATGTGGGCTAAAAATATTTATCCTAAGGCACAATGAGGTGTAGGACATCAAATTAATCTAAGCAGTATAGGAGATAAACTGAACCACAGAAAGTTATATTTTCAGTTGATCACAACTGGAGATTATATCCAACAGAACTTTCCCTACACAGACTATATTAAAGTTCAAGCCACACCTTCAAAATAAGGAGAATGCGTGGAAAAGATTCCAAAGGGTTAACAAGTGACACAGTATACAATATCAACAAACTTTAACCAATTTAATCGAACTCAATCCAAGCCATTGGCTTTGTACTGGCAATGATAAGTACCATATGAAGACAATGCAATCTCTAAGCTACCTTTCTTTTTCTATTCTTGATGGTCCGCATAGTGGATCCTCACAATAGGTTGTTTACCTCCAATATGAAAGCCCCTTTGAGAAGTCGGATTGGGATCACTTCCAAAACATCGTGGGACATAGATGGTGCCCACAATCAAAGTAACATTGTGGATAATGGGAACACAATGAAGGTCCATTGTCCATCTTGTGATTACAATATAAACAAATTGACCATCTATAGTAAGAATAATCAATGACAAGAAAACAACTATCAATTAAACCTCAAGCCATCAAAGACAACCATTATCCGTCTACATCTTTCTTGGCATCCAATGTAATCTTGCCGCACCTAGTACTAAAAAGAAAATTCCCATGTCTCCTTTTCCGCTGTCTATTGACAACTTATCTCTGGCAAGAAAAGCCAAATGGTCATGAAACATCCACCAAAAAGCAAAAGAAAATGCCTATGAGAGAATGTTTTTGATCCAAAAAGCATTCTTGCAAACTTCATCGGTTTATGTGCCTACTTATCAATCAGCCCATGTCACATCCGCTTTTCCTATCGCCGATCTAACATTACTAATGCGAATTTATCGAAGTTCCCATCTCAAAGGCCAAAACAAATCTGATAACTACTGTACACGCAAAACCGATGACAATAGCCCCGAGGGCTCGAGAACAATTATTCCCTAAGGAGCTCAAGCTTTTAATCATCATGACTACACACCTCTACTTATCGGAAAAATGACTGCATATATCTGTGAGACACATGTATCTATGGATCATAAAAATCTCTACTTCATGAAGAACAATTTTCACAAGCTTAAGCAACATAACAATGTCGAAATGCATAAGTAAAGAACCTCGATTCGAACAAAAGGTCCCCAAATTCAAGCGACCCGCCAAACTTTAGTAACCAAGAAATCTTTTTTCACATTGAAAGAGAGCGAAATACGCAGACAGCAAAATTAGAGTCAAGAATCAAGAAACACTACCAATACACAAAACGCCCCCTCAAAACCCACGACGGCATCGACCCAACAAAACTTCGTCACCAGAAAATGGTGATACCTTCTTCTTCGGAACGGCCATGAGCTCCATGGGCCCTCCTACCCCGCCGAAGCTCGGGAAATCGATTCCGGCGCGGCCGTCCTCGTGCTCGGGCAAGACCAACGGCGGAGACGCGACGGCGGGGGGGGCGGCGGCGACGAGGTCATCCAAGGGCGCGGGCCGGGCCACCGCCTGGAACCCGCGGCGGAGCCCCGGCATCGACGCGGCGGCGCCGCGGCCGGCGGCGACCCTCTGAACCGCCCTGTGCAGCGCCATCGACGAAGCTTTTCTTCTTCTTCTTCTTCTTCTGCTAGTTGCCCCCCAAGTGAAACATGGAGAAGCGAGAGCTTTTCCTTTTAAGGCCCAGATGGATTGCTCCGGGTCGGAGCCCAAACCAGCCCGTGACTTTAAAAGGCGTTTTCAAAATAGGATAAGGAACGTAAATTGATCCCTAAACTTTGGCCCGATATATAATATGATTCTTCAATTATCCCCTAAACTTTAACCCAATATATAATATTATTCCTCAACATTTAATTTATTCAAAGTGGTCCATGGAGTTTTGGTACATGTTCAATTTAGTTCTTCGGACGGTATGAAAATGTTCGATGTTGCTCCTAAACTCAAATTAAATGAAGGATAGCATTGAACATTTTGGTACAATTCGAAGACGAAATTGAACATGTACCAAAAATCTAAAGACCGTGTCGAACAAATTAAAAGTTTAGGGATGACATTACATATTGGGTTAGAGTTCAATGATCACATTGCATATTTGACCAAAATTCATGGATCATTTGTGTCGTTATTCTTCCAATATACACATTGCGCGTCATAATCGTAAGTGCAGTTCACCTTAGTACGCATCGGCCGAAAACATTGCGCTTTGGATTTTCAGGCAAAGTCGGACCGGGCCAATGGAGAACAAAAATTGCAGAATTCCCTTCGAGAATGGGCGTGCCTCTTCGGATCACTTGCCAACATTAAAATTGAGAGCAAATATTTCCTTGTAGTACAGCAAATCATCAACCAAAGCAACCACCGAAAATAAAAGAAATAGTCAAATGTTTGACCAAAAGACGGTAGCATATGTCGAGATATCGCATATTGTTAGCATCACCAAAGAAATTTTCGTAGTCCAATCACTATATCGAAAAGGTCTTCGCTTGAGGTCTCCGAGCCTTGAAAAAGGTTTAGCATCGTGCAGCAATAACACAAAAAATGGAATTAAGTAGAGGACGCGAGAGGGGAAAAGTGCCAAAAAAGTCATAAACCTTTTTACATTAGTGCCAATTCAGTCCTAAACCTTTTAAATTGGTGTCAATTCAGTCCTAAAGGTTTAGGACTGAATTGGCACCAATTAAAAAGGTTTAGGACTGAATTGGCACCAAAAAAATGTTTAGGACTAAATTGGCACCAATGCAAAAGGTTTAGGACTAAATTGGCACTAAAAAAAGGTTTAGGACTTTTTTGGCACTTTTCCCGACACGAGAGGAAGGGCGAGGGATTCTAGTGCTGAATGCCAAGTGACAGGCGAGGAGTGCCGAGTCATTTGTCGCGGAGGGTTTTGCCTCGGTTCGTCGTAGTGAAAACAAGTCAATCACGAGCTGCCACGTGTACAGGAGGACACTAATCCATATTAAGGCCACTAGAAAGGGATAGGGACTAGGTCAGGTTGTAACGAGCCCCGCGCCGAGTTCGCTAACTCAAAACTCTCTTTAAAACATTCCAAACGGACATAATAACCAAGAATCTTGCTCTCAATCCCCGTAATTCTTGCATGCTAACAATGCACACATGAAGTAAATCGACAATAAATCCCTTAAAATGGCATTTCTTAGTAAACTCAGGAAATGATATAAAGAAAAAAAACGTATATTTAATGTTCATAAATATGAAATGACAAATTTACACTTCAACACTTTGCCCCCTACACGACAATTCTTTGAGGTATACATATAGAAGACAATTCATCGACAAGAATGCATCGAGAAATAAATAGGGAAAATGACATAAACAGTCCATGAACTTTGATCTAATATGTAATGTGGTCCATAAACTTTTAATTTGTTTAATGTGATCCATGAGCTTTAACCCGATATGCAAAAAACTTTTAATTTGTTCAATTTCGTTCCTGATCTTTTAGTACATGTTTAATTTAGTCCTTAAACTATATTAAATTTGTTCAATATAAGTCCTTCTATTAATTCAAATTCAGGGAATATATTGAACATTTTCATATAGTTCAATATAGTTCGAAGACTACATTAAACATCTACAAAAAGTTTAGAGACCACATTGAACAAGTTAAAAATGCAAGGACTATATTGAACATTAGGCTAAAGTTCATGGACTACATTAAATAAATTTAAAGTTCATAAACCACATTGTACATTAAGCCAAAGTCAAGGGACTATTTGTGTCATTATCCCAAATAAATAAAATAACTTTTATAAGTAAATCAATCAATGGCATTTATAAGTAAATTCAGGAAATTGTTAATGAAATAATATATTTATGTTTCGTGAAAATGAAGGACAAATATACGCATTAATAAAACCATCACATGTATCATCATGTCTAGAGAGACTTTTACTTTTAACTTTTTGTTTCTTTTTTTGAACATGTCGCAGAGGCACTATAGCCATTTCTTTAATCTTCAATGTGTAAAATTTTCTCAACATAAAAATCGTGAATGCTACAAAAAAATTTCAAACTGGTACATCCGTGCCACGTTTATCCCAATCTAATTTTTGCATCACAAAAGATCTCAAACTAATACGTTCATGCCACATTTTGTTCCAACTAATTTTCGTGTCATAAAAAAATCCTAGATTAGTACATTTGAGCTACGCTTGCCCTAGGCTAATTGTCATGTCACAAAGAATCTCAAATCACGAAAATTAGGGATTTTGGATATTTTGTGACGTGAAAATTAATTTGAGATAAATATGGCACGGATATCCCACTTTGAAGTTCTTTGTCAATCAAAAATTAATTTGGGATAAATGAGATATATGTATATTGGCTTGGGGTTTTTCTAAACACGAGAATTAGTTTGGGATATATGAGGCATGGATGTACTTGTTTGAAATTTTTAGTGATATTAACCCTAAAAATACCGACAGATAGATCTCTGGGAAAGTTTTCCAATCTCTTTAAATTTGAAATAAAAAGGGAATTATTGTTGACTTTTCATAGGTCCCAAGCCCAACAAATAAACTTCAATGTCATTGGGGCAATAGTCTCATGACTCAAATTTTCTAAGTAGTAATCATAGGGGCCAAAGACTAGCCAACAGTCAATCCCACACTTGTATTTCCATGACTTATTTGACTCACGTTTTCCACATATCTGATCATCTTGTCATCTTCTACCAGAAGAACATCATCTGGTCATCAAATTCGTCAAGGAATCCAAAAAAAAGAGAGACTCATCGTCTTATCAGTGGATGGAGGAAAATGAAAGGAATAAGAGAAAAAAAGGTCAAAAGGGTGCACTTATTTCGTTGACTACTTTGAATTATTCAGAGGAAAAGACACTGGTTCAAAGAACAAGACATGCAAGAGATGACAAAAAACATTGCCTCAGAGATCAAGAATGTCCGTCTAAGCAATTTAAGAAATTTCAACGGAATTGCTGTTGCTCTCTTTTGTTTTTATCCTTTCGCTCTCCAATTTCAACCGCTTAATCATTTGTTGACACTATAAATTTGTCTGTTTTCAGGACTCTTGTTTCTTCTGCCAAAAACTTAAACATTTGTCTTTCTAAGGACTTTGCAAGATGTTATTTAATCCTCTACAACATGAGAATTTGGGTCGTTCGTACAGTTGGTGCAATTTTAAGAGATTTTCATTTTCTCCTTATGTCGCTCTTAAGTACCGATAGGTATTTGACCACACAAGATCGCTCGGTTCTCTTTAGAAATAATAGATTGAAATCTTCCTAAAGGGATTAGGATAAGAGAAAGTCAAAAGGGTTTTTCATGTTGGGTCTTATGAGATGCATGGTTTAGTATGAGAAGTAAAACAGTCGAAACCGGAAAAGGGTTCATCAAAGTCAAAAAAAAATCATGCGTAGATTTAAATAGATCTTGAAAATATTAAGATTAAAATTTATGAGATTGATGATTCAATATATTGTTCTTTAATAAATGTTTGGGAAATAATTCATAATTAACTTATCGTGGATATAATTACACCTGTATTGAAGATGGCCGGGGTTTTTGCCCTCGTACCTTGAATTATTATTAGAAAATTTCTATCCAACCTTTTCGAAAAAAAATTTGACGTGACACCCTAAGAGGCTGCTTCATGAGATAATTATGTTAAACATTCGACGATGTTGATTGACATTAAAAGTGCTCGAATTACTATCAACATAGTTAAATTCAACATGAACCAGGATTATATAACTTGACATTAGGCACAAGGACTTGTAGTTAGTTCAATAAACTAAATTCACTTGTAACCTAGACAAAATTTGCTTGTTAGTGATTAGGATTTCTTTAAAGTGAAAAGACTAATGTACGAAAAAAGAAATAAACGAAATAAATTCACTTCGAACCTAGACATTTTTTTCCTTCACAACTTGTAAATATTTTTATCCGGTTTGTTGGTTAAGTCCAGTTGCCTAATCATAAGCATCATGTAACTCAATTGGTTGGATATATCTCGACAGAAATTGCATTAAGAGACAAAAGAAATGTGAGTAAGCACTTTAGATGAGGAGCCAAATAAATAAATGGGTGTTTTTCTGGGGCACGATAAAGTCAAGTTACTTGCGAGTAGCTGGGGCTTGATCGGGTGATTACTCGGGTGATTAATCAAGATCGATTCGCATAATTTCAAGTCAAGTTCAACGTCGAGCTACTCAAGTATCTTGTCAAGTTGAACTTGAGCTTAAGATACTTGAATAAAGTGTATAATTGAGCTGGAGCTTGTCAATTCGAAGCTCGACAAGCTCACGAGTTTGATTAAGTTTCTATTATTTTTACGAAATTATTTAATAATTAAAAAAATACATAAAAATCCTTAGAATTACATAATTGAGCTCATTAAACTCGACCTTGAGTTTATTTTAGTTTAATTATAGTCGAGTTGAGTTTATAGGCTGCACTGAATATTTTCATATAGTTCAAGGACTAAATTGAACACGTACCGAAAGTCCAAGGACTACATTGAACAAATTAAAAGTTTAGGAACCACATTGAACGTTAAGCTAAAGTTCAGGGACCAAATTGTATATTAGATCAAAGTTCAGGGACTGTTTGTATCATTTTTCCATTTCTAAATTAAGTTTGACTCGAGTTTCAAGCAATGAGTATGCAA